ACTTATGAAACTGATTTTGTAAATTAATTTTGTAATATGCTACTTCACTATATTGATTTATTATTTCAATGAAGTTTTTAATCTTTAGGATTTTCTACAAGTCAACAAACAATATGTGTTGTTGAGAATGTGGATTAAAAAAAAATCTAACTCTGGGTGGGGATGAAAACTTGTACAATGTGTCTGGAAAAGTGTGTGGAGGTCTTCGAATTATTAAAAACAGATTATATTTAATATAGATATGTATATTTTATATTATGATTGTTTTATGCATATAGAAGAATTAGCAGAATACTTCATGCATACTAAGTGTTCAATGTATGATAGGTGTTAATAATAATTGGTAATAAGTAAAAAGGTAATTATTAGGTGAACATCCCTAAATTACTGAGGTAAATATTCATTCTCAAATCATAATGTAAGATCCTGTGCTAGCTCAGTTGGTAGATTAGAAGATGTGGTGGTCTCATGAAATCATAATGCAATGCAGAAGTTTTGTTTTTTAACTTTGTCTTTATTTTGTGATAAGATAAACCCTTAATATTTATGCCTTCATTTGTATATTATATAATTGTGTTCCTTGAATTTATTTTATTTTTATGGCTAAGTAATATTTTAATGTGAAAATTTTCTTTAATCTACAAAAAATATTCCTAAAGAACACACACAAACATTATTGACCACAATTACTTTAAAGAAAACGCTGCTATAGTATTTGTGTCAGCTATCTGCATGCTGTTCTTCTAGTGATAGATTCACATACTGAGGGGAAAAAAAACTCTCAAAAGAAATTACCTTGGTCTCTTGGAACACCATATTAACAACCCCCAAATAATCTGCTAGTCTGCAATGTTTATATTATTGACTTGAAATGATTATTTTTAAAAGAAACAATTCTAACTTTGTAGTCTCAAACTTGAAATTATAAGTGTATTTTCAATTAAATGATGAAAACAAAGTTTACCACGTGTTTTATAGGATCTTTTGAATATTTTCTTTTTTTTCTCTCTTGAGGCACTATCCCCTTAGATTTGCTGAAAAGAAACAAACACTCCTTAAATATATATAATTTAAAACCACCAACATTTCCCAAGTTTGAAGCTAATCATCTTAGTTATGATGATCTTTCTGAATGTTTGTGATGTGGAGTTAGTTGGTAACACATATTTTAATTACATGGTATCAAAAAAAGTAGTTTATTAGAAAAGCTTTTTTATAGATACTACCTAATGTTAAGATATATATGAGTGAAGAAAAATTACATTTCTAAAATTATTACACTTTAGCTCTTTCTTTGAATTAGCTGAAAATATTATTTGCTATGAATTTATCTGCTTACAGAATTAAACATTGTTTTCCAGTGAGAATGTCTATCTTTCATTATGATTGATCCCTAATCTGGACCTAAGGAGAAAAAGATACCAGTATATACTGCAAATGGTAAGTAAAAAAATGTGGTGTTATTTTAATTTTAAATTTTAATAATTACAAATACCTCCTAAATTGCATATGTGGACAGATGTTTAACTTCTTTTGAAAAAGAGTATTTTTTCTTAGAGTTTTATCGGAAACTCTGGAGTATTGTTGCAGTTCTTCTGAGCCCTCTGTGGGAAAAACCACGATTCTGCATTGCTAATAGTTTAGTGATTAGATCACACCCTGCATTGCAGAACTGTGCCAGGAATGACAGTCATTCTATTGCACTCTAGATACAGAGAATTTGAACAGCTCTAGATGTTAATCAAACAAGTTTGGAAGATACTTTTCCAATGCATTTTCCAAGATGTTTCAGAAATATCTCCCTGGAAAGTTGTCTTCACATGTTGTGTGTGTGTGTTGCAAACTTTTTATTAAAAAATAATACAAATTTAAGACTACAAATCATAAATACTGTGTACCAATTATAATCCTTACAAAAACACAAGGTAGATTCTAATTTTCTAGGTGAAACAATTTTAAAATGTTTAAATTGTGGTAAATTTGATATCTTCATCATGTTTTAATGCGTTGTCAGAAAAATACCTTTTGAAATTGCTAATCTGGTCGACACAGGACAATGATAGCTCAATAGTGATGAATTATTGATTACACAATCTGTACTGGTTACAGAACAAACACCTGACCTGTGGTTTTGACATTACTCTAATAATCACAATGAACATACAGGAATGCTTGATGTATCTTGTAAAAAAAAAGTAGAACGTGGAGCAAAGTTATATTTTTTAATTTATTGTTATTGGAGTAACTATTTCACGCATTGCTAGTGTTTTGATTGGGTAGGATTTCCCCCCACAGGGGTAGTCACCATAGAACTTCACCACTAACACTCACATTTCTCTGCTTTAGTCCACTGTATTCCTCACCCTTCTCCATTACCGTTTCACCCCTTTCTGCTCCTTCCCCCTCTGAAAACCAACTATCTATTGCTAAATTTCAAGGGTTGGTTTTAAATTTTGTTTTTGACTGATCCTTTGTTTGGTTTCTCTATACTCCATGTATAAATGGTATTTACCCTTTTTCTTTTGGCTTATTTTACTTAGCATAAGTACTTGCAGCCCAACCATGTTGCCACAAATGGCAAGAACCTTTTTGATGGCTGAGTAGTATCCCCGCGAGTATTCCACAACTTCGTGATTTGATCCACTCATTTATTTTGGTGAATTTAGGTTGTTTTCATGTCTTATAAACTATCAATGGAGCTACAAGAATTATGTGCCTTTTAAATTAGTATTTTTGCATTTTTTTCGATAGATTCCTAGGAGTGGGATGCTGGGTCGTATGTCACATTCACTTCTAGTATTTTGAGAACTCTACACACCGCTTTCCATAGGGTCCAGGCCAGTCTGCATTCTCACCAACAGGTTCCCTTTTCTCCACATCTTTGCCAAAACTTGTTCTTTCTGACCCTTTTGATATGGCCCATTGTCACTGGTGTGACGTGGCATCTCATTGTGGTTTTCATTTGCATTTCCCTGATGATTAGTGATGATGGGCATGTACATGTGTCTGTTACCATCTGCATGTCTTCTCTGGAGAGGTATCTATTTAACAGAGCAAGGACATAGTTAAAAATGAACAGGGCCAAATGAAGATGAGATAAAGAAAGAAAGATTTAAATTCATCTATAGTTCCATAAGATTTTTCACTTCCAACATTAGCCTGGAGATAATACCTCAGAAAATTAGTATTGAGAGAGAAGAAATATGAAATATTATATTTTTATTATTATTAAAATATTATAATTTCTAATATAATATAAATTTCTAATAAATATCTCATATGAGATAATGAGCTAAATCATGTCGAGGAAAAAAGTGTATTCAGTAATAAAAAGAAAAAATCAGAAGAGGCAAAGACATTAGTTGACAAATTTTAATTAATAAGAAAGTGTATAGATCAAGTATTTTTACTCAAAATAATGAAAACATTGTATAATACATAATATAGCTTTATTTTTTCCTTTTCCATTGGTGTTTATGTTTTAAGTTTATTTGGGGAAAGTTTGCCTGTTTTTGCAAATTTGTAACAAAGTTTCATCAGGTAATAAGAAAATGAAGTGCATTACTAGATTTATTTAACTGAAAATATGGCCCTAGTATATATTAGTTTTTTGAATCCATCAATAGTTTATTTTTTTAATAGAATAATAAATTAGGGAAGCTTTAAACAAAACACGTTATTGGCTGGTGCCTTTTGGTAGATGTGTTTAAGCCTAGTTTTTTTAATGACATATAAATGCACTATAATTTAATATTTCACTTCAAGAGTACTTGATTTTTAATTAATATCATTATGTACATTTTCAGAAATGATACATGTACCATATGTTGTCATTGTAAAGCTTCATGAATTCATATAAAACATTTTGTGACTAAAATATATTTGTAATTTCTTAAGGATTCAAATGCAATTACACCAACGGATACAATTATTTAAAATTTTATTTTAGTTTTTTACTTTTTTTAATTGACACACATTTATTTATAGCACCATGTCTTAGGGTCTGTCTCTTTGGAATGTCCTTACCTGTTCCCACATCGAGGCACCCGGGACTCTCCACCCTGGCCATGGGGCTCCTCCCCCACTTGCTTATACTCACCCATCTCTGCTGGTCGCCTCAATTCTGCACATTCCAAGGATTTATTTTGGCTTGATTAATAATTGCTTATAATTCTGTATGTCTTTGCCCCGCAGATGTATATTTTTTCTTTAGAATTTTCAGCGGTCTGTCTCTTATTTTTTTTTTTCAAATAAACACTTAAATAGGAATTCTAAGCTAGTTATATTACATTATTAGTAGTATGTTCTCTAAATACTATATTAGCCACAGTTTTAAATGGAATATATCAGCCATGCTTGAATCACTGTGATTTTTATAGAAATTTGAAACAAACTTTAAAAGTTTTAACAACATAAAGAAAATAATTTGTTAGCAGTATATCCGAATCTGGATAGTGAAATCAGCAGATGAGCACTTATTCAACATCATGTACTCTATGCTTATAGTTTGAAGAATTATGACTAGAGTTACATAATTGAAAACTAAAATGAAATGCTATGTTTTAGTAATAGCAGCAGTTAGTATTTTTAATACCAAGATGCTGCAGAGGATAGCGCAGCAATCATTACCACTGTTTTCCTTCCATGCATCTTACATTTTTTTTTGTAAATGTGGCTATATTTACTTTATATTCAGTATTATTTTCTCCCTAAATTCAACTAGTACTTATTTTGTTGTGGTATTAAACTCTCTTTCCTTTTTTCATTTCTTATGTCTTCACCAGCAGTTCACAGAGAAGTTGCAAGAAGCTACCGTGGTGACTTAAATAACATTTCAATATGAAATCTAAAAACCTAAGAATCTGACTGTAAATGAGTATGTTTATGAGTATGGAGCTTTCTATATATCATATGAAGTTACATGGATATAAAGTTGCTCATGTACTGTTCTGTTTTTGTGCCTCTTTATTTCTAGAATTTTATTTGATCACAAAAGAGAAATGAAAAACTATACAAGGCAGATAGAATTTATCCTTCTGGGACTGACGGATAATTCTCAGTTACAAATTATAGTTTTTTCCTTTCTTTTTCTAAATTATCTGTTGAGCATGATAGGAAACTTAATGATCATTGTCCTTACTTTACTGGCTCCCCATCTCAAGACCCCAATGTATTTTTTCCTTCGTAATTTCTCATTCCTGGAGATTTCATTCACAAGTGCCTGCATCCCTAAATTCCTAATCACCCTTGTAACCAGAGAAAAGACCATCTCTTATAATGGCTGTATATCTCAATTATTTTTCTACATATTCTTGGGGGTTACGGAATTTTTTCTTCTCGCAGCTATGTCCTATGACCGCTACGTCGCCATCTGCAAACCTTTGCATTATACATCCATTATGAGAAGCCAAGTTTGCCATAAGCTTGTACTCAGTTCTTGGATAACTGCACTTCTGGTCGTTTTTCCTCCATTGATTCTGGTTCTTGACCTAGATTTCTGTGCTTCAGCTGTCATCGATCATTTCATTTGTGATATTTCTCCTATCCTGCAACTTGCTTGCTCAGACACCCATTTACTGGAATTGATAGTTTTCATCTTGGCTGTGCTGACGCTCATCATCACGTTGATATTAGTGGTCCTTTCTTATGCTTACATTATCAAGACAATCCTGAAATTCCCTTCGTCTCAGCAAAAGAGAAAGGCCTTCTCCACCTGCTCCTCTCACATAATTGTTGTCTCCATCACTTACGGCAGTTGTATATTTATCTACATCAAGCCATCAGCAAATGAAAGAGCGACTTTAAGCAAAGGAGTAGCTGTTCTCAATACGTCAGTTGCTCCTTTGCTGAATCCCTTTATCTATACTCTGAGGAACCAGCAAGTGAAAGAAGCCCTCAGAGTTGCATTTAGAAAGATAGTTTGTGCTTTATACAAGTAGTACTGTATGGTTGAAATAATTAAAGTAAAAATATGAATGAAATTTATATTGACCTCTGGTTTAAGAGCTGCTATCTAGTATTTGCATCACTTTGGCTTGCCTGAGTTTAGAAATTCCATTCTATACATTCTTTTTAACTTTATTTACTATTTTTCAGCATGAAATCTAGTAAAGATGATCACAAGTTTTATTTTCTCTGAAAGCATGTTAGAATAGAATGAATATGTCTATAATATATTGTATTATAGAAGATAAGTTTGCAAAGAACTGGATGTATTAAGTACTTTAAATATGGCCCATGTTTTACTTAAAATACATGCTTCTAAATATTCTTAGATATAATAAATTTTGTCATTATTAAATATACTTAAGATGCTCCAGGAGAAATTGAATTTTAAAAGAATAATGTAGAATTATGTCTTATAAAATTATTTATTTTAAGATGTAAAATATCAACATAGTAAAAAAGCACAATTTACTTTAAAATGAATCATACATTTAATATATGTGATTTTATTTTTTGTTTATGTTAGGTAGATGATTCTTGATAGCAGTAAAAAATAAAATATGAATGAAGGCATAAGTAGTTGATTTCCAGTCTTTTAAAAGACTCTAAAAGCAATTTTAATCTCTTAAATATGTCAACGAATGTATTGTATAAATGAGTTTATGTAATGAATTTTATACTCTTAATTATTACATTTTATTTATTTTATTCTTTAAGATTTAGTTGTTTACTTTATGCACAGAAGAACTGGGGTATAGACCAGAGGTGTGGTGGTAAGTGGATTCACTGTGACAGAGTGGGGAGCAGGTGGATCTACTGAAATCCACTGCTGAGGGGAGCAGCAGGGAGACAGGCGAGATCTGCTGCCCTGGGGGTCCCTCCCTGGCCGGGGGGTGGAACTGAGGCTGCCGTGGTGATACTGTGATAGTGCTGAGCATTAGTCTCTAGGCCACCAGGGAAGCCCCAATTATTAAATTTTAATTCTGGGCCCTCCCTGGTGGCACAACAGGGTAGGACGCAGCACTGCAACCTAGCTGCAGCCTCTTCAGCGTGAGTTTGATCCCCGCCCTGGAGGTGACCCCCAGGGTCCAGCAGACCTCTCCAGTCTCCCCACTGCCCTCCCCCAGCAGTGTGTTTCAGTCCATCTGCCTGTTCTGCTCCCCGCTCTGTCTCAGGTGGAGCCTCTCCCCTCTCCCCTCCCCTACACCTCTGGCTTTTACCCCAGTTCTGTATGAATAAATAAATAAATCTTAAAAAACAATTTTAATTCTGTACAAGTTTCTCCCAGAAAATGGCACCAAATCAATTTCTTAAAATTTAAATGACTTTAAAGATAAAATGTTTCATTTTCCCCAAAAGTGGCTCAATTTACTCCCAAGTGTCAGCCCTCAGCACACACAGAGGCCCTGTCCATGGTTGTCCTGACGTACATACCATGATGATAATGGCTTCACACCGTGATGGTGCTTAGACTGCTAGGAAACATCCTCTTCCATGTTCTGTATGTGCCAGTGGTATATATTTTCGTTTGTGTTATGTATACCATATAATTCCCCAGTCAATATTCTGTCAATTAATTTTAACAACAGGGAAAAGAAAACGTGCGTGGATCAATATTACTGGTCAACTTTGATCTTAAGATGAGATAGATCAGTGCATAGCAGACAAAACCAAACAAAGAAATCTGACTATTAAGGTTATGGGGGCCTGGGAAGAGTTGGGGAGCATGAGACATCCACAGTTGTCTAGCATGGTAACATATACCTGCATGATACCATATCCCTGCAGGGCTGTAAAAGAATACCTCTGAAATATATAGTGGTTACCCCTATAAACATAATACCAAGTAATAAACCAACAACCACTAAGTAACAGAGGTCTTGAACTGACAGTCAGACCCTACTACTGGGCCTGTTGTGAGATGACCAGCTCTTGATGACCAGCTATTTGTCTTCAAGTCTTTCCTCTGAGATGCCAGAAAGCAAGGTGTGGAAATAAGATGTGCTGTTACTTTATGTAAAAATTCCTGACTACAGAATATGTGACTGTACGATTTCTATACAATAAAGCAATGAAGTATTTTTAATGAAAGTTTCCTGGCAAAAACATGCTTACAGCTAGCAATTATTTTTCTTGTAGAAATCATGGCCAAAGTAACCCATAAGTCAAAAGTGGAAACCTGCAATTGATTAATTCATCAATCATGAATTTAGTAAGAATGTGGCTTCTATCTGTCAAATCTCCTCAAATTGGTTATTTAAGACCTGTGCATTTCACTGAATGTAAATTTACCTAAAAAAAAGAATTTCAAATACAAATCTGGACACAGGATGCTTTACACAGTTGTGCGGACTGCTAGTAACTGCTTTGGTTGTATTCTAGACCCATGCAATTATTGTGATAAGGAAAGTTAGTTTAAAACAGCTCTATGATTCTAACCTTCATGTCCCAACACAGTTATATCATGTTACAGATCAATATATAAAGACATTCTCTGTATTTGAAAATGATCTTTTTTCACATACAAGCTACAGAAATCTCAAACGTGTATATATATATCAAATGTCACTCTCACTGACTTACCAAAACACAATACAATCCTAATTTGGAAGGAAAGTATTTGAATATCAACATATGGGATTCCAAAACAACCGCATTTTTTCCCTACTGATAAAAATCAAAACAAAGTGGGTAGGAAAGTGAAAATTGTGATTTTTCAATTCTATCAATAATTTAAAAGGAACTTTTAACTTCCCATATATATTTAAAATAGCTGCTCAGTTTGTTTGTTTTTTAGATTTATTTATTCATACAGAACTGGGGTACAGGCCAGAGATGTGGAGGGTGAGAGAATTCACCAGAGACAGAGTGGGGTGCAGAAGAGGCAGATCGACAAAGTACACTGCTGAGGGGAGCAGCGGGCGGGTCAGGAGCGGTCTGCCGCGCCCTGTGGTCACCTCCGGGGCAGGCGGGAATCGAACTCATGTGGAAGTGGCTTAAGCTTCTTAGTGCTGCGCTTTAACCCGCTGCGCCACCAGGGAGGGCTTCTTTAGTCCAGTATTTTATGCCCTTTAGCAGTTCCTTCCTTTTCCTATTCTTGCTGGTTTGCTATACTTGAAAGCTCTTAAAATCCTTTAACTGAACTTGGCTTGTGTGTGAGGTATTTGTTGTGTTTCACCAGCACTTAAAATATAGTGTGTCACCATGTTCCTCTGTACCTACTCCGTGTCTGTCTGTATGTGATGGATAGCGTGTTTAAATATATTTTATATTAAAGGTAGGCCTTGAGTGAACTTCTTGCATGAAAATAAATAACTAGCTAATTTATCTTATAATGATTATGAAGATGCTTATCTTCTGAATGACCACTTTGTTGGTTTCGTTATTTTAATTATCCTGTCATGGTTTGTTTGCTTTTATTTTTAATCTATCTTTGATATTGGTATTTTCTGTTTTATTTTTTTTATTTTATTCTTATATTTACAATATTAATTTTAATGCCTTTGTTTTAGAACAGACTAGTAATATTACTACATAATGTACCTCCTATATAATTTATGTGCTTTTGAATATTACTATTTTCCTTCCCTACCACATTAAAAAGAAAGACTAGGTTAGTGGTGGAGACAAGTTTAATTGATTGGAAATATGTTTGCTAGTTTCACATATGAGGTTGGTTTGGTTGAAGAAGGTGTTGACAGAAGATGTGAGATTAGAATACAGAATAAATGACTAAAAAGATAAGTAAGACCAAACGAAAGGTACAAAGCAATGAAATGAGTTAGAAGTTGTACCTAAATATTGAGAGGACTTTCATCTCCCATATTACTTTGATTTGTCAGAGTTGTGATTTCTTTGAGAGAGATGCAATCCTCTTCCAAAAGTCACTGAAGGCTTGTTTCACTTGCTTGTTCCTCAGGGTGTAAATGAAGGGGTTCAATAAGGGGGCAACAGAAGTAGTGAGCACGGACACACCTTTATTTATGGCTACCTCGTCCTTTGCAGAGGGTTTGATGTAGATGAAGATGCAGCTTCCATAAGCAATGGACACCACCACCATGTGGGATGAGCAGGTGGAAAAGGCTTTCTTCCTTTGTTGGACAGAGGGGAACCTCAGAATTGTTTTGATGATGTATGTGTAGGATAGAAGTACGCACACGAGGGTAACAATGAGTGCAAATACAGCCATAATGATAACCATTTGTTCTATCACCCATGTGTCCGAACATGAAATCTTTAAGAGGGGGCTTGCATCACAGTTAAAATGGTCAATGGCATTGGAGTCACAGAATTCAAGCTGAAGGCCCATGCTGAGAGGTGGGAGAACGATCATCAAACCAGACACCCAACAGCAGAGGACTAGTGAGGTACACACCCTATTGCTCATGATGGTCATGTAATGCAGGGGTTTGCAGATGGCAACATAGCGGTCATAGGACATGGCTGCCAGGAGAAAAAACTCTGTTGCTCCAAAGAGAATGACAAAAAATATTTGACTTGCACAAGCATTGTAGGTAATAGTATTGTCTCCAGTTGACATACTGTACAGAAACCTAGGAATACAGACAGTGGTAAATGAGACTTCTAAAAAGGAAAAATTTCTGAGGAAAAAGTACATAGGGGTTTTAAGATGGGAGTCCATCCAGGTGAGGGTGATAATAGTAAGATTCCCTGTTACACTCAATGTGTAGGTGAGAAATAGGAAGATAAAAAGCAGGATTTGCAGTTGTGGGTTGTCTGTCAATCCCAGAAGGATGAAAGTTGTTATTGCTGTGTGGTTTTTCATCTCCGCCTTTTGGAATCTGCTAGCAGGCATATAAAAATCATGAAGTTTTTTTTTTTTATGAGGAAGTAGATATAAAGAATTTGTAGCAAAATGTAGTATATAAAAGCTCAGTAAACTCCTTCTCACATCAATATTACCACAGTTCCAACAGCCTTTCTGAAGCATGTATGCATGAGCAGGAAATAATTCTCTCCGGATTCATGATAT